TTGTAAAAATGTAATGGATTAAACATAGATATGATGAGAGTAAATTTTTCAATTTTTTTTGACATTGAATTCAACATTTGCCAATGCTTTCACAATGGTAAAACTTGCTTTTTCCTCTCGATTGAAATAGGTATTTTCGAATATTTCATTGTAAACAGACGGAAGTGTAATTTCCACTATTTTTGCCAATTCTGCAACCGATAATTCTTTAACATCATCGTGAATGTTTGCATAAATTTCCAATATATTAATTTTGTGTAGAATTAGACCCAAATGACATTCACTACAGATCTCGCTCATTGTTGATAAACAAATTTTGCAAACTCTGTATATTTCGTTCAAATTGTTCGACACACAATCTGAAATTGCATCGACTAATTTTCGAGATTGTCCTAATATTTTAAATTTTTTAAGGAAATAATCTTCATTTTCCGATACACATTTTCTACATTCATATGAAAAAAAATTATAGGTTCTAAATATTTTTCCTAGTAAAGTTGATTCAAGCGAACTTGGTAGATTAGAAAAATAAATATCATTGATGGTAATTTGCTCCCCAATTTCGATTGGTCTAGTGGCTCGCAATACAAGTTGAGTACCATTGAACAATGTTTTAGCGCTCGTCGAACAGGAATGTTTTAATCTTGATTCGGAAATATAGAGGCCTGCACCCAAACGTTGCATTCCATAATCAAAAATTATGAAGCCACATTGGTAGCATATACCATGACATATCGACATTCCTTTAATATTCCATTCTATTTTCAGTGAGTCTAAATGTTTAAATAAAGATAGAAAATGTATCATTCGAGGTGGATCATCAGGTAGGTGCTTCTCAAATCGGATATCGCCAAGACATACGCCGAAATTTTCATCTTTTAAAAAATTTTGTCGTTCGTAAAAACGTTCTGGATTGTGTTTCAAGTAAAGATACAATCGTAACATAAATCGCAAAAATAGATGGCCGGCAATCATACTGAGTTGATCAAGATTATTTTTATAAATTTTACATTCAAATTTATGTTGAATCCAATCTTTTT